TAAATTGGCGATACTATCTACTACACGGTAACCAGCGTAAACACATTAATGTGTAAAATTTCACACATTTCGTGAAAAAAGGGGCCTACTCATAAAATGTGTAAACTGCGTTTACACATTTATGTGTAAACCCAGCAAACGTCAAAAGATGTGTATTTTTTACACATTTTTCAAGGACGGTTTTTACAGCAAAATGTGTAAAAAGTAATCATTTCTAGATTATGGGTTTTTACTAGGTTTTTTATTAACATCAGAATTTTCTTGTTTGTGTCAATGGTAAAATAAAGACTGCCGAATACAATAATATTTTATTAAAAAAAGAAATGCCATCAACAAAAATAAGTAGCGGCACGTGATTACCTCTCACCCCAGCAGGAAAGGGGTTCAATCCCAGTCGACGCTGCCGGGATGTTCTGAGGCATAACATCTCTGATCACGCCGAGGATCACGCCTTCCTTCGGAAGGGAAGTGAAGCCATTGGTCCCCGGTTCATGAGTTGACGGGTCGATAGGTAGGGTCCAGGTGTGGGAGCTTCCTCCCTAGCGTCGGTAGCATTGGTGCTCAGCACGGAAAACAAATCAAGGGAAGAAAAACAAAAATCAGTATATGAAGTATATAAACTAAACTAAAAGTAAAAACTATGAAAAAAGTATAAATCACTTACCCTCTAACATGTCCATCGTTGCGCACTGTCCAGTTTGGACCGTAGTTCCTCCACTTTCCTGCTGTTCTTCACTATTTAGCAAATGGAATGCGTAAACAAAGCAGGATGCAGCAAAGTTTGAAGTTTTTTTTTACCCATTAATGAGTATAAAAATACACATTTTTTGACTGGTACTGCATACTTAAAATGTGTATTTTTTACACATTTTAGGATCTCCAAATATACACATTTTTTGACAGCTGCATATAAATATGAAAAATGTGTATTTTTTTACTCATTTATGTGTTTACGCTGGTTACCGTGATGGCACAAACGAAGTGACAGACGACTAACTGGCGAACGAATCAATTGGCAAATCAAAGTTGGCACTCGTGGAGAATAGAAGAACTATGAGAGTGATGATGGTTTCAAAATTTTACACGGCGAGGTATACGAGTGCCATCTTAAAATGCTTTTATTTTGCAAATGGAGCATTTCATTTAAATCTGGTTGACGCTTTGTTAGTAGAAAACTTAAGGACTATTCAATAGACAAATAATACAGAAAAATTAATTTCTGTTCAGATTTTTAGGTGTACACATAGATTTGAGCTTTTCTACCACTGTAGCAGCAACCAGATTTAAATAAAATGTTCCATTTGCAAAATAAAAGCATTTTAAGATTGCATTCGTATACTTCCCCGTGGAAAATTTTGAAACCATCATCACTGTTATAGTTCTTCTATTCTCCACGAGTGCCAACTTTGATTTGCCAATTAAAATAATGTGGTTCGCTGAAATATAATTTTCTTAAAAGCTTTTGTTATCATCCACCAGATGGGCTAGTATTTTTTATTTGATTTGAACAAAGTTGATTTTGTGTGCAATGATCTTTGACCACAAACGAAGTGACAGACCGAGGGGTTTCTACCAAGCTTGTAAGGTGATCGGTAATCCAAAATTACCACAAATTATTAAAATAATTAGTGAATTTTGAATTACTGAGTAATTTCAATGTAATAAAAATAATTGTTGGTAATTTCAGTAATTCCTACACACAAAAAACTAAAATTGTATCAATAAATATGATGCATTTTCAAATTAAAAGTTTCCCAAAATCCGTAGTTTCAACTGCGAAAATATTGAACATAACATTTATCTTTTCGCCTTAAAAGTTTTTCTTTCACTTCCGACTTGTAAATTTAAAAGTGCATTTTTTGAAAGTAAAGTTGTACAACTGTCAAAAATACATCTTTAGAGGTCGTTTTTACTGGCAGCACTGAACTCTCATTTACCGCCTTTTCCGATAGTGGAAATTTGGTCAGCCGTCTGCTGTAGAAATTTGGGACAACAAATTTTTAAAAGTAAGTCAATCTGTGAATCGTTGAAGTTATTGTTGGTTTAATGGATCTCTTTATTGGGAAAACCATTTAACTCACATTTATATTGTTTTTCGACATTCATATAGACTCCCACTGAAGATCATCACTGTTTTCCCGAAACAGTTTGCTCCATCCCATCGTCCACAACCAGCGGAACTGATGGAGTAAGTTCACTGCATCAGCTGTGGTTGTTCCGCCGGAAAAGCCTAATTTGGACTTCAAACGGAAGGTCTCCAACGGGGAAGAATCATAGAGGTAACTCTAAGACTAGAAGGTCCCGAAATAACGTGCTCAACTTTTTGGCTCAGCTCTGGTACTCTCTTCGGTCCCAAGCTAATCGATTCACCCCTCGAAACATAGGAAAAACCAATAACCCCTCATTTTATCTGTCAAACTTTCATAGCGAATCAAAACAAACATTGCGTAGTACTAGAATTTCGACTAGAATAGGGTACGTTAATCGTTTGCTTGGGACCAATAGGCTACTAAAGTGGTGAGCCAATTTAAAATCGTTAGTTTCGTATTGATTGTTGGAAGAATGCTGTTTCGTTAGATCATCGATTGAAAATTGAATTTCTCTAGTAGGGCACCAGATTCACACGGAACATGTATTACGCTACCCTGGAGTGGTGCTGGGAATTTGTTAAAAAGGCTCCGTTTGCCAAAGTGTCACTTCCTTTATATCATAAATGGCATTTGACGATGCGATGAATGGCATACGAATAATAAAGTGATTTTTATTTATTGATTTATATGATGAATATACATAATTATTAGAAATGATAAGAATATGAGTTTGAATACTTTCTTTTTAAGCTTAAGAACTCTTAATTTGAAAATAATTTCATTTTGCGATAAAAATAAATATTACTACTCTGAAAACGGCATCATTTGAAGTGAAACAATCGAGGAAACAATTCATATGTCATTTTAAAAACCTTGGTTTTTATTTTGACGGTTCTACAATTTGATTCAAAAGCTTCAACTTTTAAAATTAACAATGAGGGAAACTTTTAATTTGACAAGTTTCAGCTTTTTATTTTTAAAGCTCTGTACTTTCTACCAAAAAGAACCAATGATAACTTTTAATTCTAACAATGTTTTTTTCAATTATATTAACGATAATTTTTTGTGTGTACTGCTTGGAAAATAATTTGGTAATTTTAAAGATTTGAACCAGTAATTTGAGAAATTCCATAAATATTTGAACTATGGAATTATCATATTCTTTATTATTCTATGTAAATTTTATGATTTTAGTTAATGGAAATCGAATTTAGATATTAAAAAAAACGAAAATCTAAAAAAAATATGCAACCCTCGATGCACCCAAATCCATGGTGGGTATATAAATGGTGATACAGCTTTGTCACTATAAAGGCGAGGAGGTCGCGGGGGGAAAAGTGCGGTTTTAGTGCAAATTGTAAACAAACTCGGTCGCTGTCCCATACAAAAATCCAACATGGCTGAATCATGACTTTGACACATTAGAACACCTATATGAAGTCACCTTGCCCAAATCTATGCGTTATGTCACGCCCCTTGCCATCACCCATAGCACAAACGAAGTGACAGACCACTAACTGGCGAAGAAATCCATTAAAATAATGTGGTTCACTGTAATAGAATTTTCTTGGAAGCTTGTGTAATCATCCACAGATGGGTTAGTTTTTTTTTGTTTTGATTTGAACAAAATTGATTTTGTGTACAATGATTCTTTGACAGTGTGCAAAGAGTGTATCATTTTGTAATTTTTTTATGCATTTCAGTTTTGAGTAGAGTGAAAGAGATAGAACCAACAATCAATACGAAACTAACGATTTTAAAATTGGCTCACCACTTTAGTAGCCTATTGGTCCCAAGCAAACGATTATATTCTAGTTGAAATTCTATTACTACACTATGTTTGTTTTGATTCGCTATGAAAGTTTGACAGATAACATCAGGGGTGTGTGGATTCATGCAGAACATGCAGGGGTGAGTGAAATAGCTTGGGACTGCTTGGGACCGTTGTTCTGGTACTGAGTGAGCCAAAAATAATAATGATTTTCTTCGGGACCCAGTGGTCTTAGAGTTACCTCTATGATAGAACCAAAACATTCTAGTACATTTGGTGAAAATGCTAGTTCAATCAACAATCAATACGAAACTAACGATTTTAAATTGGCTCACCACTTTAGTAGCCTATTGGTCCCAAGCAAACGATTAACGTACCCTATTCTAGTCGAAATTCTAGTACTACGCAATGTTTGTTTTGATTCACTATGAAAGTTTGACAGATAAAATGAGGGGTTATTGGTTTTTCCTATGTTTCGAGGGGTGATTCGACAAGCTTGGGACGGAAGATAGTACCAGAGGTGAGCCAAAAAGTTGAGCACGTTTCTTCGGGACCTACATGTCTTAGAGTTACCTCTATGGTTCAATCCAGTAGTAGCACAAACGAAGTTACAGACGACTTTCTCCGAAGAAATTAATTAAAATAATGTGGTTCTCTGTAATAGAATTCTAGTCCACCTTCCGCTCCTCACCGCCAGGTTCGCTAGTATTTTTGTTTTGAATTAATTCAAGTTGGTTTTGTGTGCAATGATCTGGCAACTCGCGTTCTCGCTCGCATTGACGGGGTGCTGTTTTCTCACTCATCGAAGGAAATTTTGATTAGAGTGAGAAAGTAAGAAATAGTCAGTGCGGGAGCCGTGTGCGTTACTATAGGTGCGGCAGAAGGAATGTAGTCGACTCTTTCGTTCTTACGCATGATTGAATGTTACGTCACACTAGATTATGCATAAGAACGTTGTGATAATGAAAGAGCTGACTTGTTTCCTGCTGCCTCATCAATCACATTGATCACAGTACTTGCGATTCTCCATCGGCTCGTCTCGCTGCGCGTATGTGTTTCGCGAAAATATTAATTTCAGGAAAAAAAAATTATAAAAAAAAGTGAATCTTAACTATATCCCATCCGCCGACTCCGGAGAAGTTACGAAGTGAAAAATCTCTTGTGTGAATATTTTCCATCTTTCGTCTCGCTACGTTTCTTCCCACTGTATACCTCTGCTCATAGTTCCGTTCAGTTGGCAAGTCAAAAAACCATTCTATCAGTATTTCACGGAATCATCTTAAATCAGCTTAAAATCGGGAAACGAACGGCCGTAAAACCATATTGACAGACGGTAGCATTTAGCCGTTCCCGAAAGTAGCAGGTCAACTTCCGTGAAGGCCACTAAAAGGAACAATCTAGTCGCCGCACTTCATTCTGCGGAACTTCTCTGCCGTTCTGGACGGCAGACGACACTATTTGGAGCACCAGAAGTAAGCGTCTATCCAAATAATGGCTCTCAGTCAGACGTCGGTGGTGAGTCACTATTTTTTGATACTTATATTACTGTTTTTATCCGACTTCCGTAGAGTAATTCGTAAACTGCAACAAGGTCGAACAGTAGCATAGAATAGCTTAGCTGTTCTGAGTTGAAACATATGTTTCATACTTGAAAGATGGAAACCTATTCTGCCGATAATAGCATAGCTGTCCCATATGAATAGGAAATTAAGCAAAGATCGGACCTATATACGATTATGAGCAGAATTCTAAATCAGTAGGTAGATCATTTAGGTAATTCACTGGTCGCTTTGTGTCTTAAAATAAATCCGGGACGTCTCTCAGAGCACAAAATTGTAGCATGTATTCGTTAGGCACTTATATGTACAGTATCTGCTAAGTGTTGTGCTAATCTCAGTATCACCTGAGTGTTAACGGGGAGTGCATTTTCTTCTAAGTTTTATCAAAACAGACGTTACCTGTTACCAGCGTAGAAAAAGTAACAGGCATGAAGAGAGAAAACCGCAGTCCCCACACATGGATTCTCACACATTATTTTTCTGTGACCGCAGTTATTCGATCTGCTGTTTGATTAGATTTTTTTTTCACATGGATTAGGAGAACCTATTAACATAGTACACTTAAATAGGCTCTGGTAATGTTACGGTAGTGTAAATGTTTACGATGTGCTTTGTGAACACCCCTACTGCCCATAAAAGCATAACAGTCTCATATGGATATGGAAATAAGTTATCCATTAGAATCGATTGTAAACTACCTGCATTTTACACTGTGACGTTACATGTTTTGTTCAGAAAATTTCGCGGAAAACGCCAAAACTAGGTTGTCCCATCCATAAGAGCCTACGGAGAAATAAAATTTTCAATAGCGTTTTTTCTGATAGGTATGCTTTTATGGACAGTCTAGTATTTATTCTATTTGATAGGGGTTATTCAACTTCGGAAGGGAAGTAAAGCCGTTGGTCCCCGGTTCATGAGTTGATGGGTCGATAGGTAGAGTCCAAGTGTGGGAGCTGCCTCTCTGGCTTCAGTAGCATTCGTACTCAGTACAGAAAACAAGATCGATGGAAAACCAATGAAGGTAACATAAAAAAGAGGGTTATTTCTACTGATTTTTCGTGAAGTTGAGTGGAAGTTTGTTTTTTTTTTTACATTTACGGCAAAAAACTTAACTGAAATATGAGCTGACATCTCCTAAAATAGTTTAAAAAGTTGATCTGTTTCTATGTTGAGTAGGGTGATTCAAGTTTATATGACGGATTACAACCCCCTGATCTTTCGATCTGTTTTAAGGTTATCAACAACTGAAAATGAGTAACACTATTCAGTTGCTTGTCAAAAAATCCAAAATTGCTCAATTTTTTTCCAAACCTTAGATCGGAAAAACTATGCAGAACAATAAAGTAATGAAATTGGGTTGTTAGCGGAATGCTTAAATAAAACAGCACACCTTTTTTTTTGCTCTTTTATATGCAGACCAACCCTAATAGAATGTGTATGGTTCAGGGTGTCATCCGAACAATTTGTGGAATCATTCTATCATATGGGTTATCATTCGAGTATGGTAATTTTTTATTTTATGGAAGGTCGTAAATTGATTCGACTTCTATGCAAAAAGTTATTTTTATCTGGCAGAGACAATGATGGGAGCCAATTCAACTTGTCATTTGCGGGAGCCAATCGAGCATTACTGTTTCTTTTTAGATCGAATGTGGTTGAAATATTGTGCTCGTGACAAAGATTAAATCGAACAAAAATTAAATCAATTCAGGTGGTAATTATCAATGCGTTTCTGAACGCTTTTTTTACGTTTTTCATGGAGAACAATCAACTCATAATTGATCATTTTGTCAAGCTTCTGCATTCATGTTCCATCAGATGTCACAGCTGTTGTTTGCGGTGACATCTATCGGAAAGTAGACACAATCTGTTTTCTTATAATTGTTCACAGAGGACACTGCAGTGCAAAACATGTCTGGTACCTCTATATATGCATTTAGATTAATATTCGAAGTCCCTCCTTTTTAATACATTTATCACATTCTGCACACAAAATAGCTCACCCCTCACAGAATTTCCCGCCGATATTTATGTATGTTTGTTCTATGCGCGCAGCATATGTAAAAAAGGAGGGACTTAAATGTTAAAGCAAATGCATATATAGAGGCACCAGACATGTTTTGTAGTGTCAGGTACTCTATTTTGTAATCTGTGAAAGGGAAATCACAAATCGAGTGTCAACAAAATACATGGCATGTTGAGAAATTGAGGTCGTGAGAGCAAATTTTCTCTCTTAAATTTGAATTTTTTGGTTCTCTGGGAACTGGTAGTAAAGCAGGTAAAACTGTATGGGGAAAAATCATTTTTAATTAATTGTAGCTTGTTTAACAATAATTTCCGGGAAAAAACTGACCGACAAAGTCCCTGATTAATTTCTTTAGGTTGTCGTTCACTTTTTTTGACCTGAATATGCACCGAAAGCGAATTATTCCCACTTCTCTCAATTTCTATATGGGGATTTTTATCACTTCCTATCAGCGGAACAGCGCCATCTTTGTGGAAAATGGTCGAACAAAATGATTAATTGCATAAAGTGGAGTCACTCAGTTTGTGAGTAAACCAATTTTATTCATTTAACAGTAAGTAAAGAAAAATTGTGGGCGTGTAAGTTTTACTCACTGGTTCGAGCTATACAACGGGAAAAGAGCTTGAATCATGAGTTTGTTATACTCACATTTAGTTTATTCACGCGGTGCGTCAGAGTTACTCATTGTCCAAATAACAAATTTCAGAATCAGAGCTAGTAAGAGTCTTGAAAATTTTCTAAATCGTAGTTTTAAAGATTTCTGTTCGTGCAGACTACACACTTAGATAATTTTACAGATTTTTTACTGGGTTTTTTAATTGCTGAAAAAGTAAAAATGCAAATGACCGTTATCCGTAAGGAATCAATTAAATCGACTTATTTTATTTTCTAACATTAAATGGGGTTAACAGAGCTAAGTCTGTACGGAATAAATTTCCTTATTTTTAAATTTTCCACAGAGTTTTAAAGTTTTTCTCTGTGGTTTTACCGAACAGTTCCGCAATAAAAAAAAAACAAGTTAAACCTTTCTCGGAAATTAACCACAACATCGTTCACCTTCCTTACTGTGACAACAATCGACACAGAACTGTGAGATCCTTAAACTCTGTAACAAACACTATATAATTTATTTATTTTCTCTCTCCGGGACCCCCTCAGGAGCCCCTTCCCTACAAAGAGACGAACCAGCTAAAGGCTGAAAGTCGCTATAAAAAAGCAAAAAAAAAAAGTAGAAGGGTCTGTGCCTAGGGGCACGAACGGAAGCTTGACGTAGGACCGCTAGTGGACGGAATAAATGTGAAGAGCAAGTTCTTTTAATTGATCAAATCAGGCATAACATTTGATAACGGCACAAAAGCATTTGTAAACAAACATTCTAAGGCCCTTTACACGTGAACTAAAGTACACCCACGCAAACCAATACCACTTTCGGAAAGGTGATAGTACCCCTATGCGATGATGTTGTTGGTTTGCGTGGGTGTACTTTGGTTCGCGTGTAAAGGGCCTTAGAAGGTTTGTTTACAAATGCTTTTGTGCCGTTATCAAGTGTTATGCCTGAAATATCTATTATCTCAACTCTTTCCGTTTTTGAATTGTAGGCGATCCAAATTTGTAGTAATCTTTTTCAAAAAGAAAGTTGATTACGAGAATCAATCAAAATCACTTGCACCCCTGCTTCCAAGTTTGTGTGGTCGTTGGGGGCTTATGGTTCTGAATATGGATAAACAAGCACAGATAAATTCTATTACAACTCTTTACTGATGTAAGCTTGATGGCCCTGAAAATGGCCGTTTTATTGAAGAGGACATCCATGGCCACTTACGTTTGGCATGTTTAGAGTAGGTGACAGCATCACGGACCTAATTTTCCACTAACACCTTCAGCACACCTCGTAGATCAGACCGGAGATACGTCAGACACTGCCACGGCGAGCCAGACGACGGATGGTGGTTACCTCGAAGATTTTGCGATGACGATTGGCACCTCCTTTGCCACGACCAGCCACGATCTACTGCTGCTGTTGCGACCACGCCGTCCGAAGCGAAAATGAGCTGATACCAGTTAGTTAGTTTAAATGATCTTTATTTTAGTTTAACTTGGACGATTACCATATAAATTTTTACTAAGTGATTTAATTGCTTTCTTCATCTTTAGGTATGGGCAAAATTCAAAATTTGTTTTACAGAATTAGTCCTAGTTTGTTTTGCCTTGAGAGGCGGGATCTGCGGCAAATGAGCGGATACAAACACCTAACCAAGGCGGAGCACTTAACTAGGGTTTTCTCTATGTGCGAGCGGAACAGGAGCTTCTCATCGAACAACATCCCGAGATAAGTAACATCAGTGGACCACTCGACCCTTGTACCATCCATTATTACGGTACAGGAGGGAGACGGTTTAAGTTTTAATGATTGTCTGTGAAGGAACATGATCGCTTGGGTTTTCGAGGCGTTGATTTTGATTTTCCACGTGGTGGCATAATCAGTAAAGGTGTCAAGGCATCGTTGGAGCTTGTTCGTAATTTCACGAGGCATCCTACCCTTGACGGCTATCGCGGTGTCATCTGCAAACAGAAAGAACACGCAACCGTCTCCTAGAGGAGGGATGTCCGACGTGTAGATGCTGTAAAGCAGTGGTCCCAGCAGACTCCCTTGCGGAACACCTGCTGGGATCGGAAATTGTCCCGAAAGGGAACTATTCAACGACACCCTGAACGACCTTTGCTGGAGATAGTTACGGGTGATTTTCACAAGGTATGGTGGAAAGTTGGAGTTACAAAGCTTGTATATAAGTCCGTCGTGCCAGACATTGTCAAACGCCTTTTCGACGTCTAACAAGGCCATGGCTGTGGACTTGGATACAGCTTTGTTACTCCGGATGTTATTCATCACCCGCACTAGCTGATGATTGGTGGAATGCCCCTTACGGAAC